GAGGGGTGCGCGCACGTTCCCCCCCCCCCCCCCCCCCCGAGTAGCACTTGACTCTGCGAGTAGCCAACCTTATTCAAACCAGGGAGAGGATTCCTGGAGCAGAAGCCAGCTCTGTGTGAAGAGAGGACACCTATTAGACCCAGGAAGTTCTTCTTTCAGACAGGTTTGCAAAATGACTCCTGGTCGCAGTGGGAGATGCCGGAGTGCATCTTGGAGCAGAGCTGGGCTCCATTATGTTCTGCCCTCTCTGTTTCTCATACATAAGATATGCCAAGAGAAATACAGAGCATAGCGTCCAGAGGCCAGGCCGGGGACAGGAGCTCACCAGGTGAAGCTGCTGCCAAGGAGAGGATACCCAAGCTTCTTAGCCCATGTGGCAGGCCATGGGGGAAGAAAACATCCCATAAGACTAACAGGTAGAATCACCGGGTGAGAAGGGACCGACAGGGGCAGGTAGTCTAGCCTCCTGCCAACTGCAGGTACAAGGCACCTGTGCACCATCCCAGCTTTGCACATCAGCCGCACTGGCCACGAGAGAACACAGGCCCAGCCTTGGGCACAGTGCGTCCACCTGCCTCTCTGAGGACAGGCTTGCTCGCGGCAGCCTGCCCGTGTCCCAGTGGGCAGCTGTGGCACCGGAGACAGAGTGAGGCTTAACCAAGGAACATAAGAACGGCCACACTGGGTCAGACCAAAGGTCCATCCAGGCCAGTGTCCTGTCTGCCAACAGTGGCCAGTGCCAGGTGCCCCAGAGGGAGGGAACAGAACAGGGAATCATCAAGAGATCCCTCTCCAGTCACCCATTTCCAGTACCTGACAAACAGAGGCCAGGGACAACATTCCTGCCCATCCTGGCTAATAAGTATTTCTGGACCTAACCTCCATGCATTTATCTAGTCCTTTTTTTAACCCTGTTGAGGTCCTGGTCTTCACAACACCCTCTGGCAAGGAGTTCCACAGGTGGGACTGTGTGCTGCTGTGTGAAGAAAAACTTCCTTTTGTTTGTTTTAAACCTGCTACCTATTAATTTTATTTGGTGACTCCTAGTTCTTATATTGTGGGAACAAATGAACAACTTTTCCTTATTCACTTTCTCCACACCAGTCTTGATTTTATAGACCTCTCTCATGTCACTCCTTAGTCTCCTCTTTTCTAAGGTGAAAAGTCTCAATCTTGTTATAATCTCTCTGCATATGGGACCCGTTCCAAACCCAAACCCTTAAGCATCGTGCCTGGGCGCTCCGGGCTAACTCCCAACTCGGCCAGGCTCCAGCCAGGTGGATCAGGAGTCTCCAGGCAGGCTGAGGGCCCAGTACCTCCCATGTCAGAACCGCCCCTGCAGTATGTGCCCTGACCCACCCAGTCCCAGCTTAGCCCCCCTCCTTCAGCTTCCCTCCCCAGGGCAAGCAGCCAAGCCAGCCCCCTCTCTCCCAAGCTTCCTGCACAGCTGTTTGTGTTGGCTGCCTCCCCCAGCTGGGAGGATGGAGAAGGTGCCTTGACATCCCCAGCAGCCTTGGGCCGGGCCCCTCCTTAAGGTGGTCCTGGGGCAGGGAGGGCCAGCTCCTAGAGTGGCACGTCTGGGGGGGGGCGATGTGACCCCCCCAGCTGGGGAGCAGCTCGCAAGAGTGCAACCTCCACCCACCCCCACCAGTCCTGCAGCCAGCGCCCGCC